CGAAAATAGATTTACGGGGAGGTTACCATCAGATTCGGGTCGAACCATCAGACCGCGCCAAAACAGCATTTAGGACTAGGTACGGGTCATTCCAGTATACAGTAATGCCATTCGGGCTGACGAACGCGCCTGCGACATTTCAGATGACCATGAACGAGGCGTTTAGACCACTTTTAGATAAATGCGTGATAGTTTACCTGGACGATATTCTAGTTTACAGCCGGGATAAGCGGCATCACTTAGTGGATCTTGAAGCAGCTTTTAAGGTTTTGGAGGAACATCGGCTACTCACCAAGGGCTCCAAATGCGAGTTTTTCCGGGACGGGCTAGAGTTTTTGGGTCACGTCATTTCGGAGGCTGAGGTTGAGATTGACCCAAAGAAGCTGGATACGGTAAAAGCGTGGCGCCCCCCGACGAAAATCACGGAACTGCAGAGTTTTTTAGGTTTTGTTAATTACGTTCGACGGTTCGTGCCCGACATGGCACGTTTAACAGCCCCACTCACTGATTTACTGCGTAAGGGGGTCGCTTTTACGTGGGGGGAGAAAGAGCATGCTGCCTGTCAGATTTATATGACACAGTTTCTGTAGGCTATAGTGGGGTAGCACATATGGGGTACAGGGTTTCTAGGGTTGTATTTGTACCCACTCTTCCTTAGTCATTTTCATTCCTGTTTTCCTTGTTTCACATGGTATAGAGCGGGTCCTACCTTAAGACCGTTTTCTTAGGGCCCACCGAAGCGCGCCCCGAGGCGCGCATTTTTTTTAGCGACCCCTCGGGTCGCCTTTTCCCTCGCGGCCCCGCTGTCCCTCAGACGCGGCCCCGCCACCTCTCCTGATCGCGGCCACCGCCGCCTGCTTGACGCGGCCCCGCCGCCTCCCCTGACGCGGCCTCGCCGCCTCCCCTGACGCGGCCTCGCCGCCTCCCCTGACGCGGCCCGCCGCCTCCCCTGACGCGGCCCCGCCGCCTCCCCTGACGCGGCCCCGCCGCCTCCCCTGACGCGGCCCCGCCGCCTCCCTTGACGCGGCCCCGCCTCTACTGCCGCGGCCACGGCCCGCCGCCTCTGACGGCCCCGCCGCTGCACCCTACGGCCCGCCGCTGCTCCTGCCGGCCCACCGCCTCACCTGACGGCCCCGCCGCTGCTCCTGCCGGCCCGCCGCTGCTCCTGCCGGCCCGCCGCTGCACCTGCCGGCCCGCCGCAGCACCCAGCGGCCCGCCGCCTCTGACGGCCCCGCCGCTGCACCCTCCGGCCCGCCGCTGCTCCTGCCGGCCCGCCGCCTCACTGACGGCCCCGCCATTGCACCTGCCGGCCCGCCGCTGCTCCTGACGGCCCCGCCGCTGCACCTACCGGCCCGCCGCTGCTCCTGCCGGCCCGCCGCTGCTCCTGCCGGCCCGCCGCCTCACCTGACGGCCCCGCAGCTGCACCTACCGGCCCGCCGCTGCTCCTGCCGGCCCGCCGCTGCTCCTGCCGGCCGAGCCGCCCCAGCAGCCGAGCCGCCCAACGCCGAGCCGCCCGGGACCCGAGCCGCCCTGCTGCCGAGCCGCCCTGCACCCGAGCCGCCCAGCCACCGAGCCGCCCGGGAGCCGAGCCGCCCTGCGCCCGAGCCGCCCAGCCGCCGAGCCGCCCGGGAGCCGAGCCGCTGTGCACCCGAGCCGCCCGGTCGCTGAGCCGCCTTTCTGCATATCTACACGACCTGCCCTGCCTGGTGAGCACAGTCCCACTGACACTGCAAGCTCTTTCCCTACTGCTTGCGCTGCGTCGCTGTCGTCGCCATGGCTACCCCTAGTGTCCTAGCTTTTGACGCTGAGGGTCGCGCCATTGATTTTGAGGTCTGGTTAGACGACCTGCAGCTGTTCTTACAGTGCGACAGGGCTGACGACCTTTCTCTCTTTGACCTCACCTCTGGCGCCTCTCCTGCTCCTGCTGCTGATGCTGATCCCGCTGTCCGCTCTAAGTGGGCCACCCGCGATGCTGCTGCACGTCTTGCTGTGCGTCGCCACCTCCCTACCTCTGAGCGTGCGCACTTTAGTCAGTACAAGAGTGCTCAGACCTTGTACGACGCTGTAGTTGCGCGCTACTCCTCCCCTACCACTGCTGCACTGAGCCGTCTCATGCTTCCCTACCTCTTTCCTGACCTCTCTGCCTTTCCCACTGTCGCTGACCTCATTACTCACCTCCGCACTAGTGACACTCGCTACCGCGCCGCCCTTCCTGCTGAGTCCTGCGCTAAGAACCCCCCCCCCATGTACATCGCTCTCTACTACGTAGTCGCGCGCCTCCCTGACTCCCTTCGCGTCGTCAGGGACCACTTTCTCGCTGTCTGTCCCACCACCCTCACCGTCGACCTCCTCGAGAAGGCCCTCCTCGCAGCGGAGAAGAGCATAGTCGCTGTAGGTGCTTCTCGTGGTGACCCTCGCACCCCCATCTTTGAGGGGTGCTCTCCTTCCCCCTTGCTGCCCTCTGTTGCCTTTGCTGCTGCTGCCGACCTGCTTGGTCTTGAGTCGGTCGGCGCGGCGTCTACCCCTAGTGGGAGACGTCGCTCTAGCAAGGGCAAGGGGGGCAAGGGCGCGGGTGGAGCTGGAGGGGGCGGTGGCGGTGGCGGCGGTGGCGGCGGAGGAAGTGGGGGTGGTGGCGGGACTAGTGGCGGGGGTGGTGGTGGTGGCAGCAGCGGCGGAGACGGTGGTGGTGGTGCCAGCGGTGGTGGTGGAGGCAGCGGCGGAGCTGGAGGCGGCGGAGGTGGAGGCGGTGGAGGCGGCAGCGGAGGCGGCGGTGGTAGTGGAGGAGGTGGAGCTGGTCGGGGTGGTCCCCAGCAGCGTAGCGGCGGTGGTGGTGGCCAGCGCTCGCAGCGGCAGCAGCAGCAGCGCTCGCGGGACATCCCTCCGCCTCAGCAGCTTCGTGAGTGGTATGCTGGGCGTCAGAGGGGTGGGGGTACTGGTCCCTGCACCTACGTTCTTCGTTTCGGCGACCGCGCGGGTGAGTAGTGTGGGGGTGCCCACGCCACTCAGCGCTGCTTTGGCCGCCTGACGGACGCTTGGCGTCGGCAGTTCCCTGGGGCTAGTGAGATCCCTCGCTGGGATGAGCTTCTTAGGGCTGGTGTAGCGATCTTTGATCTTGATTTTGATGCTATCCTTGCTGCTATGTATGCTGTGGATTCTAGTGAGGAGAATGAGGGTTACCGGTGTTTCCAGCCCGACCCGGGCATTGGTACTGCTGCGCTGGGTGCTTGTGAGGCTGTTGCTCTAGGTGCCAGTGCGACTGCGCTCTCAGGTACTGGTGAGACTGCGCTCTCAGGTACTGCGTCGTCCTCGTCCTCCCTCACTTTCACACTTGACTCCGGGGCTTCTCGCTCCTTCTTTCGAGACCGCACTACCCTTACGCCGCTCGGCCGGCCGGTTGCGGTCTCCCTTGCTGACCCCTCTGGGGGTCCTGTCCTTTCTCACTTCTCCACTGTCCTCCCGTGTCCGGCTGCCCCTTTGGGCACCCTGTCTGGTCTGTACCTTCCCTCGTTCTCTACGAACTTGGTGAGTGGAGCGGACCTGCAGGATGTGCGGGTTGACCAGTTCACTCCTGCGAGTCAGCGGGTGACCCACTGCACGGAGGCACGCACAGGCCGACACCTGGCCACGTTCTCGCGTCGGCCGGGGTCGAGTCTCTACACCCTGACCGTTGAGTCTCCTCCTGTCCCTGCGTCTGGTCAGGTGGCTGCGTCGGGTCAGGTGCTTGCTGCTGCGTCCCGGTCAGGTCCTGAGTCTGCCCCCTGTTCTTGTCGCCTCCTGTCTCACGAGACTCTCCTGTGGCACCACCGTCTTGGCCACCCCTCCTTGCCCCGTCTTCGGAGCATGGCTTCCCGTGTCCTTGTCTCTGGTCTTCCCCAGTCTCTCCCTCCTCTCCCCTCCGGGCCAGGACCTTCCTGTGTCCCCTGTGTCGAGGGTCGCCTCCGGGCTACTCCTCACTCCTCCCACTTCCCCCCGACAGAGGCTCCCCTGCAGACGCTTCAAATGGATGTGTGGGGCCCAGCCCCCGTCCGTGGGCAGGGTTACGAGCGCTACTTCCTGCTGGTGGTTGAAGACTACTCGCGTTACACCACAGTCCTCCCCTTGCGCAGCAAGGGTGCGGTCACTGAGGTGCTGATCGACTGAATCCGCGAGGCTTGTCTCCAGCTCAGGAAGAGCTTCGGCTCGGACTTTCCTGTTCTGCGTCTGCACTCGGACAGAGGCAGCGAGTTCTCTTCTCGCCTTCTGCGAGACTACTGTCGTGCACGGGGGATCCGCCAGACCTTCACGCTTCCGGACTCACCACAGCAAAATGGGATTGCTGAGCGCCGCATTGGCATGGTCATGGATGTCGCTCGTACGTCCATGATGCATGCGGCTGCCCCCCATTTTCTGTGGCCGTTTGCGGTGAGGTACGCGGCGCATCAGCTCAACCTTCACCCCCGGGTCTCTCGGCCTGCGATGTCCCCAGCCTTGCTGTGGACGGGGAAGGTTGGCGATGCGTCTGTGTTCCGTGTCTGGGGATCTCGGGCGTTTGTCCGCGACTTGTCTGCGGACAAGCTGTCCCCTCGTGCTGCTCCCTGTGTCTTCCTTGGCTTCCCCACTGACGCCCCAGGGTGGCAGTTTTACCACCCCTCCTCTCGTCGTGTTCTGTCCTCCCAGGACGTCACGTTCGACGAGTCAGTCCTGTCAGATTTATATGACATAGTTGCTGTAGGCTATAGTGGGGTAGCACATATGGGGTACAGGGTTTCTAGGGTTGTATTTGTACCCAATCTTTCCTTAGTCATTCCATTCCTGTTTTCTTTACTTCACATGGTATAGAGCGGGTCCTACCTTAGGACCGTTTTTTTTTAGGGCCCACCGAAGCGCGCCCCGAGGCGCGCCTTTTTTTTAGCGACCCCCCTCGGGTCGCCTTTTCCCTTGCGGCCCCGCTGTCCCTCAGACGCGGCCCCGCCACCTCTCCTGATCGCGGCCCCGCCGCCTGTTTGACGCGGCCCCGCCGCCTACCCTGACGCGGCTCCGCCGCCTCCCCTGACGCGGCCCCGCCACCTCCCCTGACGCGGCTCCGCCGCCTCTCCTGACGCGGCCCCGCCGCCTGTCTGACGCGGCCCCACCGCCTCCCCTGACGCGGCCCTGCCGCCTCCCCTGACGCGGCTCCCCCGCCTCCCCTGACGCGGCACCGCCGCCTCCCCTGACGCGGCTCCGCCGCCTCCCCTGACGCGGCCCTGCCGCCTCCCCTGACGCGGCTCCGCCGCCTCTCCTGCCGGCCCGCCACTGCACCTGCCGGCCCGCCGCTGCACCCAGCGGCCTGCAGCCTCTGACGACCTCGCCGCTGCACCTGCCGGCCTCGCTGCTGCACCTGCCGGCCCGCCACTGCACCCTACGGCCCGCCACTGCACCCTACGGCCCGCCGCCTGCACCTGCCGGCCCGCCGCTGCACCTGCCGGCCCGCCACTACACCTGCCGGCCCGCCGCTGCACCTGCCGGCCCGCCACTGCACCGGTCAACCCGCCGCTGCACCTGACGGCCCCGCCCCTGCATCTCCTGGCCGAGCCGCCTCAGCAGCCGAACCGCCCGTGAGCCGAGCCGCCCGACGCCGAGCCGCCCGGGACCCGAGCCGCCCTGCCGCCGAGCCGCCCGGGAGCCGAGCCGCCCTGCACCCAAGCCGCCCAGCCGCCGAGCAGCCCGGGAGCCGAGCCGCCCTGCGCCCGAGCCGCCCAGCAACCGAGCCGCCCAGCACCCGAGCCGCCTTTCTGCATACCTACACGACCTGCCCTGCCTGGTGAGCATAGTCCCACTGACACTGCGAGCTCTTTCCCTGCTGCTTGCACTGCGTCGCTGTCGTCGCCATGGCTACCCCTAGTGTCCTAGCTTTTGACGCTGAGAGTCGCGCCATTGATTTTGAGGTCTGGTTAGACGACCTGCAGCTGTTCTTACAGTGCGACAGGGCTGACGACCTTTCTCTCTTTGATCTCACCTCTGGCGCCTCTCCTGCTCCTGCTGCTGATGCTGATCCCGCTGTCCGCTCTAAGTGGGCCACCCGCGATGCTGCTGCACGTCTTGCTGTGCGTCGCCACCTCCCTACCTCTGAGCGTGCTCACTTCAGTCAGTACAAGAGTGCTCAGACCTTGTACGACGCTGTAGTTGCGCGCTACTCCTCCCCTGCCACTGCTGCACTGAGCCGTCTCATGCTTCCCTACCTCTTTCCTGACCTCTCTGCCTTTCCCACTGTCGCTGACCTCATTACGCACCTCCGCACTAGTGACACTCGCTACCCGCGCCGCCCTTCCTGCTGAGTTCTGCGCTAAGAACCCCCCCTCCATGTACATCGCTCTCTACTACGTAGTCGCGCGCCTCCCTGACTCCCTTCGAGTCGTCAGGGACCACTTTCTCGCAGTCTGTCCCACCACCCTCACCGTCGACCTCCTCGAGAAGGCCCTCCTCGCAGCGGAGAAGAGCATCGTCGCTGTAGGTGCTTCTCGTGGTGACCCTCGCACCCCCATCTTTGAGGGGTGCTCTCCTTCCCCCTTGCTGCCCTCTGTTGCCTCTGCTGCTGCTGCCGACCTGCTTGGTCTTGAGTCGGTCGGCGCGGCGTCTGTCCCTAGTGGGAGACGTCGCTCCAGCAAGGGCAAGGGGGGCAAGGGCGCGGGTGGAGCTGGAGGGGGCGGTGGCGGTGGCGGTGGTGGCGGCGGAGGGAGTGGGGGTGGCGGCGGGACTAGTGGCGGGGGTGGTGGTGGTGGTGGCAGCAGCGGCGGAGACGGTGGTGGTGGTGCCAGCGGTGGTGGTGGAGGCAGCGGCGGAGGTGGAGGCGGCGGAGGTGGAGGCGGTGGAGGCGGCAGCGGAGGAGGCAGTGGTGGTGGAGGGGGTGGATCTGGTCGGGGTGGTACCCAGCAGCGTAGCGGCGGTGGTGGTGGCCAGCGCTCGCAGCGGCAGCAGCAGCAGCGCTCTCGGGACATCCCTTCGCCTCAGCAGCTTCGTGAGTGGTACGCTGGGCGTCAGAGGGGTGGGGGTACTGGTCCCTGCACCTACGTTCTTCGTTCCGGCGACCGCGCGGGTGAGCAGTGTGGGGGTGCCCACGCCACCCAGCGCTGCTTTGGCCGCCTGACGGACGCCTGGCGTCAGCAGTTCCCTGGGGCTAGTGAGATCCCTCGCTGGGATGAGCTTCTCAGGGCTGGTGTAGCGATCTTTGATCTTGATTTTGATGCTATCCTTACTGCTATGTATGTTGTGGATTATAGTGAGGAGAATGAGGGTTACCGCTGTTTCCAGCCCGACCCGGGCATTGGTACTGCTGCGCTAGGTGCTTGTGAGGCTGCTGCTCTAGGTGCCCGTGCGTCTGCGCTCTCAGGTACTGGTGAGACTGCGCTCTCAGGTACTGAGTCGTCCTCGTCCTCCCTCACTTTCACACTTGACTCCGGAGCTTCTCGCTCCTTCTTTCGAGACCGCACTACCCTTACGCCGCTCGGCCGGCCGGTTGCCGTCTCCCTTGCTGACCCCTCTGGGGGTCCTGTCCTGTCTCACTTCTCCACTGTCCTCCCGTGTCCGGCTGCCCCTTCGGGCACCCTGTCGGGTCTGTACCTTCCCTCGTTCTCTACGAACTTGGTGAGTGGAGCGGACCTGCAGGATGTGGGTGTTCACCAGTTCACTCCTTCGAGTCAGCGGGTGACCCACTGCACGGAGGCACGCACAGGCCGACACCTGGCCACGTTCTCGCGTCGGCCGGGGTCGAGTCTCTACACCCTGACCGTTGAGTCTCCTCCTGTCCCTGCGTATGGTCAGGTGGCTGCGTCGGGTCAGGTACTTGATGCTGCGTCCCGGTCAGGTCCTGAGTCTGCCCCCTGTTCTTGTCGCCTCCTGTCTCACGAGACTCTCCTGTGGCACCACCGTCTTGGCCACCCCTCCTTGCCCCGTCTTCGGAGCATGGCTTCCCGTGTCCTTGTCTCTGGTCTTCCCCAGTCTCTCCCTCCTCTCCCCTCCGGGCCAGGACCTTCCTGTGTCCCCTGTGTCGAGGGTCGCCTCCGGGCTACTCCTCACTCCTCCCACTTCCCCCCGACAGAGGCTCCCCTGCAGACGCTTCACATGGATGTGTGGGGCCCCGCCCCCGTCCGTGGGCAGGGTTACGAGCGCTACTTCCTGTTGGTGGTTGACGACTACTCGCGTTACACCACAGTCCTCCCCTTGCGCAGCAAGGGTGCGGTCACTGAGGTGCTGATCGACTGGATCCGCGAGGCTCGTCTCCAGCTCAGGAAGAGCTTCGGCTCGGACTTTCCTGTTCTGCGTCTGCACTCTGACAGAGGCGGAGAGTTCTCTTCTCGCCTTCTGCGAGACTACTGTCGTGCACGGGGGATCCGCCAGACCTTCCCGCTTCCGGACTCACCACAGCAAAATGGGATTGCTGAGCGCCGCATTGGCATGGTCATGGATGTCGCTCGTACGTCCATGATGCATGCGGCTGCCCCCCATTTTCTGTGGCCGTTTGCGGTGAGGTACGCGGCGCATCAGCTCAACCTTCACCCCCGGGTCTCTCGGCCTGCGATGTCCCCAGCCTTGCTGTGGACGGGGAAGGTTGGCGATGCGTCTGTGTTCCGTGTCTGGGGATCTCGGGCGTTTGTCCGCGACTTGTCTGCGGACAAGCTGTCCCCTCGTGCTGCTCCCTGTGTCTTCCTTGGCTTCCCCACTGACGCCCCAGGGTGGCAGTTTTACCACCCCTCCTCTCGTCGTGTTCTGTCCTCCCAGGACGTCACGTTCGACGAGTCAGTCCCCTTCTACCGTCTCTTCCCCTACCGCACTCCTTCCCTCCCCCCTCCCCCGGACTTCCTTGTGCCGGTTCCCCCCCCGGTAGACCCCCTCCCCCCTCAGGTTCCTGCCCCCTCAGGTGTGTCCCAGGTAGACGCCGTTGACCCGGTCGAGGTTACTGGTGACTCTGGTGCTGCTGTGGGTGCTGAGCCTGGGGGTGCTGACTCTGGGGGTGCTGTGCGCGGGGGTGCTGAGCCTGGGGGTGCTACTGCTGGGGGTGCTGGGCCTGAGGGTGCTACTGCGGAGAGTGCGGAGCCTGGGGGTGCTGAGCCGGGGGGTGCTGTGCCTGGAGGTGCTGGGTCTGGGGGTGCTGGGTCGGGAGCTGCTGAGCCTGGGGGTGCTGCGTCTGGAGCTGCTGAGCCTGGGGTTTCTCCTGCTGCTGCGTCTCGCCGGGAGCCCCTCTCTCCACAGGAGCTGCGCGAGTGGTTCGCTCGCCGCTGGAGGCGTGCTGCTGAGTCTGGAGGTGCTGCTGGAGCTGGAGCTGGAGCTTCTTCGACTGTCGAGGGTGCAGGTGCTGCCGGTCCCGGAGCTGCTGGACCTGCGGGTCCTCCTGGAGCTGGAGCTGCTGAGGGCGTTGGTGCTGAGCCTACTGCTGTTGGTCCTGCCGCTGGAGGTGTGGGTGGCGCTCGTGCTGTCGGTGAGGGTGGTGGTGCTGTCCCTGCTGAGTCTCGAGCTGCCGCGCGGCCTCGGCCGTACTTCGTTCCACTCCTGCAGCAGGTTCTTGGTCTTTCTCCTCCAGTAGAGGGTCCACCGCCTGTCCAGTCGCAGTCCCTGCTGGAGCCTTCCTCTCCACTGCCTGCTCCCTCTCCTTACACTGGTCCTACTGGAGGTCTTGCTGAGCGTCGTGAGCCTGCGTCTCGTCCCGCGTCGCCTGTTCGTGCTGCTCGCGCTAGTGGTCGCAGTTCGCGTCAGCGTCCTCCTCCTGTCCCTGGCACGCACCGGATGTCTTTGCGTCCGTCCACTGCTCCTCTGCGTGCCCCTTTGCCTTCTCCTCCTGAGTCCTCTCTTCCTGTGCTTGCCGACCCTAAGTCGGACTCTCTTCGTGCTGCCAGTCCTACTGTCACGCGTCTCCTTGCTACTGTCGTCACTGACCCCTCGTTTGAGTCCACTGCTGCGTCTGCCCTTGTCGCTGAGCTCGTCGACTTTGCTGCTCGCTGTCGTCTCGACTACGCTGCTAGTCTTGTTGCTGAGTCTGCGTCTGTCTGTCCTCCGTCCGTCGGGGGTGAGTGTGCTCTTGGCACGGACGTCCTAGAGGACAGGCAGGAGGAGTTACAGTGTCTAGCGGTTGCTTCACCTCATCTCGCGTCTGTACTGCTTGCCCCTGAGGGAGACCCGGATGCACTAGACATCCCGACTCCGCGTTCTTACGCGGAGGCCGTAGAGGGTCCCTACTCCTCTCAGTGGCAGGCAGCTATGGATGCAGAGATGGCTTCCTGGAAGTCCACAGGCACCTACGTTGACGCGGTTCCCCCTCCTGGGGCGAACATCGTCAGTGGCATGTGGATCTTCAGGGTGAAGCGGCCGCCGGGCTCTCCACCTGTCTTCAAGGCACGGTACGTTGCTCGTGGCTTCAGTCAGCGACAGGGAGTTGACTACTTTCAGACCTTCTCTCCCACCCCGAAGATGACTACTCTTCGGGTTCTGCTGCACATAGCCGCTCAGCGCGACTACGAGCTTCACTCTCTCGACTTCAGCACTGCGTTCTTGCAGGGTAGCCTGCACGAGGAGATATGGCTTCGCCGTCCACCTGGCTTCACTGGGACTTTCCCTCCTGGCACCCAGTGGAGCCTCCGACGGCCAGTCTACGGTCTCCGCCAGGCACCGCGTGAGTGGCACAACACACTGAGGACTACGCTTGCGGCTCTTGGGTTTGCTCCTTCTACTGCTGACCCGTCGCTGTTTCTTCGCACCGACACTTCCCTGCCGCCGTTCTACATCCTCGTGTACGTCGACGACTTGGTCTTTGCCACAGCGGACACTGCTGGACTCGCCTACGTGAAGTCCGAGCTGCTGAAGAGACACACGTGCACAGACCTGGGTGAACTGCGCAGCTACCTTGGCTTGCAGATCACTCGGGACAGAGCACGCCGCACCATTACCTTGACTCAGTCACACATGGTGCAGCAGGTCCTTCAGCGCTTTGGCTTCACGTACTCCTCGCCTCAGGCCACTCCTCTGCCTACTCGCCACTCACTCTCAGCTCTGCCTTCGGATGAGTCCGTAGAGTCGAGTGGTCCGTATGCAGAGCTTGTTGGCTGCCTCATGTACCTGATGACCTGCACACGACCTGACCTTGCATACCCTCTGAGCATTCTTGCACGCTATGTTGCTCCTGGGAGACACAGACCGGAGCACATGGCTGCAGCGAAGAGGGTATTGCGCTACTTGTGCAGTACGTCGGGCATGGGGCTAGTGCTTGGAGGGCGCAGTCCAGTGGTCCTTACCGGCCACGCGGACGCTTCTTGGGCTGACGACCAGGCTACGCAGCGGTCGTCACAGGGTTACACCTTCAGCCTTGGTTCCGGCTCTGTCTCGTGGCGGTCTACTCGCTCGTCTTCGGTTCTCGGCTCCAGTTGTGAGGCTGAGATCTACGCCGGGGCCATGGCTGCACAGGAGCTTCGCTGGCTCACCTACCTGCTGACTGACCTTGGAGAGCCGCCTCGTTCTCCTCCAGTGCTGTACGTAGACAACAAGGCTATGCTGGCCTTGTGTCGAGAGCAGCGCTTGGAGCATAGAACGAAGCACATTGCTCTCCGCTACTTCCTTGCTCGTGAGCTGCAGCAGCGTGGTCAGTTGCGACTTGCGTACGTGGCCTCTGAGGCCAACACTGCTGATGTGTTCACCAAGGCGCTCGCGCCTTGTGACCATCAGCGCTTTTGCACCCAGCTGGGTCTTGTGCCTGTCTTGCCTCACTTGCTCTCCTCTTGACTTCACTTGTACTGTGACATATATATATATGCCTACTCTTGTTTGTCTAGTTTTATATATATATGTCTGTACTCCTGCATGTGAACTGGCCTGTGGCCCTACTCTTGTGCTCGGACTGTGTGGTGACTTTGTGATCCACCCTGAGCTTGCTTTGCTTTGCTTGACTGGTCTTGTGACCCCTTGTTCTCCCCCACTTTGCCTATGGGGGTGTGTCAGATTTATATGACATAGTTGCTGTAGGCTATAGTGGGGTAGCACATATGGGGTACAGGGTTTCTAGGGTTGTATTTGTACCCAATCTTTCCTTAGTCATTCCATTCCTGTTTTCTTTACTTCACAAGTCCCCTTCTACCGTCTCTTCCCCTACCGCACTCCTTCCCTCCCCCCTCCCCCGGACTTCCTTGTGCCGGTTCCCCCCCCGGTAGACCCCCTCCCCCCTCAGGTTCCTGCCCCCTCAGGTGTGTCCCAGGTAGACGCCGTTGACCCGGTCGAGGTTACTGGTGACTCTGGTGCTGCTGCGGGTGCTGAGCCTGGGGGTGCTGACTCTGGAGGTGCTGTGCGCGGGGGTGCTGAGCCTGGGGGTGCTACTGCTGGGGGTGCTGGGCCTGAGGGTGCTACTGCGGAGGGTGCGGAGCCTGGGGGTGCTGAGCCTGGGGGTGCTGTGCCTGGAGGTGCTGGGTCTGGGGGTGCTGGGTCGGGAGCTGCTGAGCCTGGGGGTGCTGAGCTGAGAGCTGGTGAGCCTGGGGGTGCTGCGTCTGGAGCTGCTGAGCCTGGGGTTTCTCCTGCTGCTGCGTCTCGCCGGGAGCCCCTCTCTCCACAGGAGCTGCGCGAGTGGTTCGCTCGCCGCTGGAGGCGTGCTGCTGAGTCTGGAGGTGCTGCTGGAGCTGGAGCTGGAGCTTCTTCGACCGTCGAGGGTGCGGGTGCTGCCGGTCCCGGAGCTGCTGGACCTACTGGTCCCCCTGGAGCTGGAGCTGCTGAGGGCGTTGGTACTGAGCCTACTGCTGTTGGTCCTGCCGCTGGAGGTGTGGGTGGCGCTGGTGCTGTCGCTGAGGGTGGTGTTGCTGTCCCTGCTGAGTCTGGAGCTGCTGCGCGGCCTCGGCCGTACTTCGTTCCGCTCCTGCAGCAGGTTCTTGGTCTTTCTCCTCTAGTAGAGGGTCCACCGCCTGTCCAGTTGCAGTCCTTGCTGGAGCCTTCCTCTCCTTTGCCTGCTCCCTCTCCTTACACTGGTCCTACTGGAGGTCTTGCTGAGCGTCGTGAGCCTGCGTCTCGTCCCGCGTCGCCTGTTCGTGCTGCTCGCGCTAGTGGTTGCAGTTCGCGTCAGCGTCCTCCTCCTGTCCCTGGCACGCACCGGATGTCTTTGCGTCCGTCCACTGCTCCTCTGCGTGCCCCTTTGCCTTCTCCTCCTGAGTCCTCTCTTCCTGCGCTTGCCGACCCTGAGTCGGACTCTCTTCGTGCTGCCAGTCCTACTGTCACGCGTCTGCTTGCTACTGTCGTCACTGACCCCTCTTTTGAGTCCACTGCTGCGTCTGCTCTAGTCGCTGAGCTCGTTGACTTTGCTGCTCGCTGTCGCCTCGACTACGCTGCTAGTCTATTTGCTGAGTCTGCGTCTGTCTGTCCTCCGTCCGTCGGGGGTGAGTGTGCTCTTGGCACGGACGTCCTAGAGGACAGGCAGGAGGAGTTACAGTGTCTAGCGGCTGCTTCACCTCATCTCCCGTCTGTACTGCTTGCCCCTGAGGGAGACCCGGATGCACTAGACATCCCGACTCCGCGTTCTTACGCGGAGGCCGTAGAGGGTCCCTACTCCTCTCAGTGGCAGGCAGCTATGGATGCAGAGATGGCTTCCTGGAAGTCCACAGGCACCTACGTTGACGCGGTTCCCCCTCCTGGGGCGAACATCGTCAGTGGCATGTGGATCTTCAGGGTGAAGCGGCCGCCGGGCTCTCCACCTGTCTTCAAGGCACGGTACGTTGCTCGTGGCTTCAGTCAGCGGCAGGGAGTTGACTACTTTCAGACCTTCTCTCCCACCCCGAAGATGACTACTCTTCGGGTGCTGCTGCACATAGCCGCTCAGCGCGACTACGAGCTTCACTCTCTCGACTTCAGCACTGCGTTCTTGCAGGGTAGCCTGCACGAGGAGATCTGGCTTCGCCGTCCACCTGGCTTCACTGGGACTTTCCCTCCTGGCACCCAGTGGAGCCTCCGACGGCCAGTCTACGGTCTCCGCCAGGCACCGCGTGAGTGGCACGACACACTGAGGACTACGCTTGCGGCTCTTGGGTTTGCTCCTTCTACTGCTGACCCGTCGCTGTTTCTTCGCACCGACACTTCCCTGCCGCCGTTCTACATCCTCGTGTACGTCGACGACTTGGTCTTTGCCACAGCGGACACTGCTGGACTCGCCTACGTGAAGTCCGAGCTGCTGAAGAGACACACGTGCACAGACCTGGGTGAACTGCGCAGCTACCTTGGCTTGCAGATCACTCGGGACAGAGCACGCCGCACCATTACCTTGACTCAGTCACACATGGTGCAGCAGGTCCTTCAGCGCTTCGGCTTCACGTACTCCTCGCCTCAGGCCACTCCTCTGCCTACTCGCCAATCACTCTCAGCTCTGCCTTCGGATGAGTCCGTAGAGTCGAGTGGCCCATATGCAGAGCTTGTTGGCTGCCTCATGTACCTGATGACCTGCACACGACCTGACCTTGCATACCCTCTGAGCATTCTTGCACGCTATGTTGCTCCTGGGAGACACAGACCAGAGCACATGGCTGCAGCGAAGAGGGTATTGCGCTACCTGTGCAGTACGTCGGGCATGGGGCTAGTGCTTGGAGGGCGGAGTCCAGTGGTCCTTACCGGCCATGCGGACGCTTCTTGGGCTGACGACCAGGCTACGCAGCGGTCGTCACAGGGTTACACCTTCAGCCTTGGTTCCGGCTCTGTCTCGTGGCGGTCTACTCGCTCGTCTTCGGTTCTCGGCTCCAGTTGTGAGGCTGAGATCTACGCCGGGGCCATGGCTGCACAGGAGCTTCGCTGGCTCACCTACCTGCTGACTGACCTTGGAGAGCCGCCTCGTTCTCCTCCAGTGCTGTACGTAGACAACAAGGCCATGCTGGCCTTGTGTCGAGAGCAGCGCTTGGAGCACAGAACGAAGCACATTGCTCTCCGCTACTTCCTTGCTCGTGAGCTGCAGCAGCGTGGTCAGTTGCGACTTGCGTACGTGGCCTCTGAGGCCAACACTGCTGATGTGTTCACCAAGGCACTCGCGCCTTGTGACCATCAGCGCTTTTGCACCCAGCTGGGTCTTGTGCCTGTCTTGCCTCACTTGCTCTCCTCTTGACTTCACTTGTACTGTGACATATATATATTCCTGCTCTTGCTTGTCTAGTTTTATATATATATGTCTGTACTCCTGCATGTGAACTGGCCTCTGGCCCTGCTCTTGTGCTCGGACTGTGTGGTGACGTTGTGATCCACCCTGAGCTTGCTCTGCTTTGCTTTACCTGACTGGTCTTGTGACCCCTTGTTCTCCCCCACTTTGCCTATGGGGGTGTGTCAGATTTATATGACATAGTTTCTGTAGGCTATAGTGGGGTAGCACATATGGGGTACAGGGTTTCTAGGGTTGTATTTGTACCCACTCTTCCTTAGTCATTTTCATTCCTGTTTTCCTTGTTTCACACTGCCTTCTCTGCCCTGAAAAACGTTCTCTGTTCACCACCCGTTCTACGCATCGCTGATCCCCACCGCCCTTTCGAAGTGGTTACCGACGCAAGTGACATCGCCATCGGAGCTGTACTGTTACAGGACTTCGGCGACGGCCTTCAACCCATCGCCTACGAATCACGCAAACTACATCCGCCTGAGCGAAATTACCCGATACACGACCGCGAAATGCTCGCGATCGTGCACGCATTCAAAGTGTGGCGCTGCTACTTGACCGGGGCAGATGTGACAGTACGGACAGACCATCGATCTCTATAGTACCTCCGCGCACAGCCCCACCTCAACCCACGACAGATTCGATGGCTCGATTTCCTCGAGTCGAATTTTCACTATACGGTCACATACAAAAAAGGAGCCTCGAATATTGCCGACGCACTGACCCGCCCCACTGCCCAGATCCACGCGATACTACTCGCCCAGACCAGCCCGCTACTGACAGGCCTATTTACCCACGGATATCAAACAGACCCGTTCTTTACAGGAGGCAACTCACAGCAATTCGCAGCGGCAAAAGGAGTCTATTACGTAAAAGCTGGAACCGACCGCATCTGGGTACCAGGATACACGCTACTGCGGGAACTACTATTACAGGAAGCACACGACGGAGTTACCTCGGGACATTTAGGGGTAGAAAAAACACGGCAGCAGCTGCAGCGGTACTACTACTGGCCAGAAATGTTGACCGATGTGCAACGACACGTGGCATCGTGCCCCACTTGCCAGCTCATGAAGTCAAGCAGGAAGCGGCCGGCGGGACAATTACAACCCATCCCGCCCCCAGGGCGTGCTTGGCAGCAGGTGACGATGGATTTCGTCACGGGGTTACCAGCTGGGGCGAGTGGGAATGACGCGATCCTGGTCGTCGTCGATCGACTAACGAAGATGGCTCATTTCGCAGCATGCAGGAAATCAATCACAGCCGAGGAAACCGCCCGACTCTTCATCACCACCGTCGTTCAACTGCACGGGATACCCGCATCGATCATCAGCGACAGGGACACGAAATTTACAAGCAACTTTTGGAGGAACCTGTGGCAGCAGTTTGGCACGCGCTTACAGTTCAGTTCATCCTATCACTCCGAAACCGACGAACAGACGGAACGGACAAATCAGACCATGGAGCAGCTGATTCGAGCCATGTGCGACGATCCGAATACGTGGGAACAGCAGCTGCCACTCATCGAGTTCGCATACAATAACGCACCATCAGCCACGACGCAACAGTCGCCGTTTTACTTGAATTACGGACAGGACCCAACAGTACCCATGACCCCGAA